GTTACGGGTTGACTCGCTACAGGTTTCACAATGGCGGGTGGGCACACGGTTCGGATCTATCCGGCTCCGGACACCCGACATTCTCCCACTCTCCCACATGCACCCGCCTGAGTCCATTTCCCCCAAAGTGTGTATGTCATGTGCTTCTAGAGCACATGGACAAGCGGATCGACGATTGCCAAACACGACTAGAGCCGACCTCTTATTGGTGCCTATTCTCCTCCGTTTGCTCTCTCTTGTCACGGCTGTTGCCGCCACCATTTCTCTCACCCCTGGCCCGAGAGAGCCCGATTTGGGAAGGCTTTGTGTAGGGAATGAGCCAATCGTGCAGTTGGCGAATACTAGTCTGCTTCTCTGATCACTGCCAGGAAAGTTTCTGGACAAACTGATTCTGGAATTGGTCTCAACTCACCTTTTGGATTACCGCCGAAGGTTCATCGAGGCATATTCAATCGCGAAATGACAGGTTAGTCACAGTCATTTGCCCAACTATAAATGATGCTTACCTTCATCCCCTCTTGGTCTCACCAGCTTGCTTAGAAGGCTGCGGTACGCCTCGAAGGCTTCTCTAATCATTTTTCCACCCTTGACGAGAGTCTATAATTCAGTCCAGGCAATACGAGGCTTTCGAGGCAAGCTCGGTCGTTCTTTTCCGCACATTCTTAGATCTGGAATTTTGCTGCACCATCATCCGAATCACCGCACAGTGGGTTTGCCTTTGTTACTATGCTCAAATGCATACAATATCGTAGAATATGAAAAATGGTATGCATTAAGGGTTTTTTTAGTAGTACTAACAAGAGTAGACATAAATGAAGTATTGAATAGGTTTTCGAAACTGACAGTTGTGTTCATTATATTGTGTTTAAAGTGATAAAGCACTGGTAGCTGAATTTTCCAACAATCCCATTGGTTGAATTGAACTACCTTACACGAAATTGAGTGAAAACAACTGAGATATCTGCTTTATTGGTAGTCTCGAAAACCAACTGACTCACGACAAAAGTAATATCGTCACTTGCTGTAGCAAAAAATAAATTTTCTCCATTGACAATCCCAACACAAAATGTGACACGGAAGATGCCTGATCTTCCTTGAAATTCACGCTTGGCAATTTGGCGGAGTGGTTGACTGACCATTTTGGAAAGTAAGGCTATGTAAGAGTGAAATGGAAAACATCAGTTCTACTCATAGCATTGTGGGAAAATTCGAAAGCCAGCCTCCTTCATCAACTTAAACGAACTATGGTGAACACATCTCATATATGGGATTTTCCGGTAGTCTCGAGAACCTACTCGCCTACGAAAAAAATGAATTTGACCTGGCTTTACTTCCGAATAGGGTTTGTCATCATCTTGCGAAATGCTCCCTAATCGGGGATTAAATGAGCTAAATTGACCTGGGGTGACTAAGTTGTTATGCAACTGTTGCTGTTAGCTCAGAGAATCGTTGTAGTAAATATGGTATTATTAACTTAGTATAAGCTCAAGAATGTCATAAAAATGCGCCACGTAAACTAAGCTTGACGCTATTTCACTGCAGCTTAGCATGTAATTGAGTAGAGGATCCTGACCGGACAAGATGCTTCCCACTCGGAATCTCTTCCTCATTGAATTTAGATGTTTTACGAAGTGCTCTGAAACGTTGATCCATTGTGGAGCCAACTGAATTGCATAGGCGAGCTTGAAAATAACAGCATTCAGTCAAGACAAAGACCGAATTATCGTAAAAAACAACGGACCGGTCAACACAAATGCTCCTCATTCGCATGATTAAAAAGGATTATGATCAGCCTAGTCTCCTTCTACTCTTCGCTACTGCTTTGCGAAAGTTTCTTAATATTTTTTTACTAAAGTAAAACTCGAGAATATTTATAATTTTCGAATAATAACCTATTCTCCAGAGGTTGATTAAGGTGAAGATTAGAATAGCCGATTAAACAAACATCTGTTTGTCATCGAAATTGACGACGCAACTTATTTTCGATGGGTGAAATTTTCAAGACTATACGTAAGGCTTGAATAAGTTCGCATCCGTGAATTTCTATTAGTCTCGAAATCTACTTATATCGAAAATAAGTAACGTCGTCGATTGCCATGACAAACAAATGTTTATATGAGATGTATTCACGCTATTTCGTTTAAGGTGATGAAGGACTGGTAGTAGAATTTTCACACAATCATATGAGTAGAACTGACTTTTCCATTAAATTTTACAGAGCCTTACTTTCCCAAAGTTGTTCCCATACCTACAATAGTGGACTGCGGTTTCGACATCACATAGGTCCTTTCGACACACCCCGCGGGAATCGAACCGTGACTGTGCAGCATGTCAGCTTGACACGTTAACGACTCGGCCACATTGCCACGAGTGCCCTTGGTTCACAGAGCAGGTATGAATTTCAAGGAAAGTCAGGCCTTTTCGAATATCACATTCTTTGGTGGGATTGTCGATGAAGCAAACGTATTTTTGCTATAACAATCGACTTTATTACTTATTTTTCGTATGCAAGTATAGTTTTGAGACTAAAAGTAAATCAGTAATATGAGATGTATTCACCCTATTTCGTTTAAGGTGATGAAGGTCTTTCGTAGGAAAAATAAGTAAAGTAGTCGGTTGGTATAGCAAAAATACATTTGCTTCATCGACAATCCCACCAAAGAATGTGATATGCGAAAAGGCCTGGCCTTCCTTGAAATTCATATCTACCCTCTAACTCAAAGGCACTCGTGGCAATGTGGAAGAGTCGTTAACATGACAAACTCACATGTTGCACTGTCACGATTCGACTCCCGCTTGGGGTGTTGATAAGGCCTATTCGAGGTCGTAACTGCAGTCCATTCCAGCCGGGATAAGAGCAACTTTTGGGAAACAAGGCTATGTGAAATTGAATGGAAACGTCAAGTCTACTCATATCGTTGTGGGAAAATTCTGCTACCAGTCCTTCATCACCTCAAACGAAATTGGGTGAAGACCTCTCATATTACTGATTTACTGGTAGTCTCAAATTTCACCTCGCATATAGAACATTCTTGGCGACGCTGTTTTAGAGTAATCTGCTTGGATTCTGTTGAAAACGTGCTAAGCTTTCCTTCGTTGTATGACAGAAGTCATCAGAGCAGACTATCATCCTTACAACCATCTTCAGGCTACCAAGTCAAGAAGATTCACCAGCTGATTCCCAAATGCCGTATTTATCGTCAATATTTAAGCTCTTTGATACAGTATAACGTGATTTGTTTGTATTACGTCTCATGTCAATCTCGAAATATGTGGCTGTATGTGTGTGTGTGTGTGTATGCTCCTGCATATT